TGATCACGTAATCATTGCTCTAAGTGTGTTAGGGTTTTATTATATTATCTCTGCAACTTTATGAACTTTATGATGTTTAATGCTAATTACTTCTGTTCCTCTTATTAATTTCTTCTTCACGCCGGAGTTTACTTTTCGTTTTACGATGAATTTAGGTCCAAATAAAGAAACTTACCTAATATTGAAGTAACTTTTTTTTACAAAAATCATTCTTCTTTTCATGAATGTTGTCTATGATTACATGACAGAACACACAACTGTCAGCTAAGCAAAATGTTACCCCAACACTTTCTCTTAAAGGTGAAAAGCAAATTGAGCGTTCTCCTCCGTCTTCTCATCCGATGTGATGAGCACTCCACACCATTGTCTCGTTCAGTCTCATTAGCTCAATGCCTCGTCAATGATTGTCTCCAAGGCAATACAACTTAAAGAGACTTGTCATTTCTTCCCTCTAGGGCAATCAAGGAAGACCCATTCCTTAGGTCACACCATATTGACCTCTTGACCTCGAGGAGATTTTAGTATAATCTCAGATACCTTCTGCAAGTTGCAATATAACATATTAAGTCACATGTGATTTTACCAATGTGACATCTCTACAAGGGCGATTGCGAGTCAAATTTCCACTTTGTTACCTAGGAAAGGGTGGGAAGTCACAGGCCTATGATGCGACGTCATGGTATTTGACTTGTGACTTGTGAGTCGTTGGGATAAGGCGATGTTGGGTTTTTTGATACCCAATAAATCCCGGGCTATGATGTTAACGTGGGTTAATATTATTTCATAGGCATAGGCCGATGAATGAAATAAGTCCAACAACCAAGTCTATGAGCTACACCTGGCCCAATTGTGTTCCTTATGGATGGCTTGAATTTTGGCCCGTTTATCCCTTTATTGACCCAACTTAAAGTATAACCCTAGAGTATATATTTGGCTATAACCCTAGCCACTTTGATATGATATTTTGTGCGATTTTGAGAGAAGAACTAGTGAATTCGGGTTGCCCCCCTTTTGTGTGAGAAAAAGGTGTCCAGAACGTTGGTATAACGTGTGCAATTGACGGTTCTTTCATAGTATACCTTTGTGGTATTTTCTCCTAACCTTTGTGGCCATAAATCATCATTCCTTCTTGTCCTATGTGGAAAAGATTGTATAGCAACCAAGGTGAATCAATTGGTTGTGGTTTGGAGCCGATTGGACTGGTTGTTGGTTGAGAAAGGTACGTTGGACTGAAACTGGAAAATCACCTTTTGAAGATCCTTTTGAGAGAGCTTCCGCAACAAATTGGTATCAGAGCTTCAAGGTGAAGGTTTTGGCTCGTGAAATCTACCAGAAATCATCCAGAAAATAGGCAGAAACGCAGCAGAAATCAGATCGAAGAAGCTGTCCAAAAACTGTTTAAATCAGTCTCCATTTTTCGCGTTTTCTGATCAATCCAGAAGGGGTTTGGGGAAACGGAGACCACTGGCGTGACGTGCAGGAGGAGGCGAACCCTGCAGGTCGGCGCGTGTCAGTCGAAGGTGGCGCGCGTGATAGCGCGTGAGGACCACGCGCAGAGAGGAAAAGGAACGCGTGAGGGCGCGTGGAAGGGATTTTCGAGAAGGTCCCTTCAGGAAGTTGTTCCTCATATTAGTTCTGACATTTTTCGTGTTAGAAGTTTTCTATTCAGGGTACACAGTAGAATCTAGACAGCGTTGTTCTTCGGGCGTTCGGGACTCGATCGTGATTTTTGGATTGTTGCAATTTCCAGAGACTTTAGGATGAACAGTGGTAGTCCTAAAGTGTTAAATTCGCGTGTCTCATAATTTACGGACCTTCACACATGGTCCGCTCGGTATCGTATTTTCTGCTTTTTATTATTGCAGTTAAAATAAATGTGTAGGTTAATTATTTATTTTTTGCATTAGAGGTCATCGTGTGGGGTAACATTATGTTTGGGGTTACTATGAAGGGGTAACCACTGCCCGTTGCTAGACCTAGGAATTATTTGTTAATTATTTGCCTTAAATTTTTTGTGAATTTGCTGTCAGTTTTTCTACATTATTAAAATTACATGTGGCCTTAGGAAAGTTTACTGGACTATTCTATGTGAATTATGTTCATACTTTACTTGTGGTCATTATTTGACATTGGTGGCAAATGTAGGTCTAAGGTAAGTGCGAAAAATAACATATATTTTAACTGTGGTAAAATTTGGACATAGTTGAAAGAGATTGTCCTAGGATGATAATAAAAGGAAAGATAAGGATAGAGACAAGGCGAATGTGACGTTAGGGTCGAGTAGTGATCCTAGTGATGTTTATTGAGAGAATAAACATGATTACTGCATTGCATCTGTGTGTAATCCTTTCTGCATGTATGTGATCACTTAATTCTATTGCAATGTTGATTTTACACTTTCAATATATTTGATGTGTGTAATTGTATGAATTAGAGTGACTTATTACTTTGTGTAATATGTTTTCATGCATAGTGGGTTAAGTTTTGTAGTTTACTCTATTTGCTCTGCGAATAGTGTGAGAGTGTGGTAGTGAGAAGAAAGTTGGGCAGCCGTTTTTCTCCTTTATCTTTGTGAGTCTGTGTGGTTTGTGAGATTATGTGAGGCAGCCATGTTAAAGTTACTTTCTTTATCTTTGTGAGTGTTGTGAAGTAACCGACTCTTTCTTCGATTTCTCTTTGTGAGTGCCACCTTCGCCATTTTCTTTGTGGATTTTTTAGAGTTTTGGTAATTGGAGTAACCTTTGTGGTCACCGAAAGGTGTTAATTTGCCATAGTGAGTTTGAGATGTATTAACAGTGTGTTGTGTGTTTTTTGGTAAGGTGGAGTATAGATGCCTAGGGGTACTGCTGGTTTGTACTGGGGATGTGGAGTGTGACATTTGGATCACGAGTGGAGATGTAATCAAATGTCTAGAATCTTTTATCTGGAAAGAGACCCTGATCAGGTGGCGTGTGAGAGAGACACTTCTATCACTTCTATTAGGTGGAGACCCATTATCCATGTAGGTTGGGAGAAGTGATGTGGAGATAGAGGATTATCCTGTGGACTTAGGATCTATTGTGACTTACCAGTTAGACATGAGTTAAGTAATCTGTCTAGTGAGCGTGGTGGGCGATGAGAGGAGATATGTGTTCTCGAGGTGTGAGCAACACGGAATGGGATACGATAAGTATGGTGAGATCTTTTCTTAGGGTCATTTATGCATGTGTTGCATATGTGGTTGACCGTGGTTTGATTAACTTGGTGTTAATCTATGGTTCTATGTGAACGTGTTTCTAAAAAGATCTACGTGTGTTATCTTATAGTATATCGTCATTGCATGTGTATTTGCTCTTGATTGTTTATTGTTAAATATTTGCTTCTACTTGGGTGTTTTTTGACCTTAGCCCCAGTGAGTACATGGAGCAGGTATGGTATGTGTTTCAAGTTGGAAACACGAGGTAAGGTCTGTAATCCAATTTTATTGGCTACCTTGATTATGCAAGTGTTAACTGTGTGTTTTGATTGCTTGCAGATTTATTGGGCATCAATGTGGAGATTTATTGAGTTTTTTGATACCCAATAAATCTCGGGTTATGATGTTAACGTGGGTTTATATTATTTCATAAGTATAGGCCGATGAATGAAATAAGTCCAACAACCAAGTCCATGAGCTACACCCGACCCAATTGTGTTCCTTATGGATGGCTTGAATCTTGGCCCGTTTATCCCTTTATTGGCCCAACTTAAAGTCTACCCCTAGAGTATATATTTGGCTATAACCCTGGCCAATTTGATATGATGTTTTGTGTGATTTTGAGAGAAGAACTAATGAATCCCGGCTGCCCCCCTTTTGTGGTTGACAATGTTGATTGTTATGTTAAATGAATTTATTATTCTAGAATTGTAGAATCTAGTAGTTCTTTATTACTGGTTTTGTAACTTTTGGTTTATTCTTTGGATATGTAATTTAAAGATATTGCTTTACAAGATATTAGATGCTACTTCTTGGTATATTTTATTTCTTTATTTTCTTTTAGATTTTGAGAAGATAACTTGTATTGTTAGTTCATGATTATTTTTAAAAAAAATATTATGGAAAAAATCAAACCCGAACTAATGGTATGTATTTGAGTTCACATTTCAATTCCAATAATTACGTGTACTTGAAAGTGTAATAGGTAGTTTAGAGTATTAAAATACCCGGATCGATCCACCCGATATTCAAACTTAATCGTTGATGTTAGACAGTATTTAAAAGTAACTTTTGTTGAAAATATATTTTTATGTTACACAATTCAAGAACACTAATTTTTAAGCACAACCAACTTGCATAAATTTTATAAAATTCATCTTTCTTATTTTATCTATTATAAACTTTTGAAATAAATTGCTGATATCTCCAGTAATTTTCAGTAGTTTATTTATTTATTTATTTTTTATATATATTTTAGTTGAATGTGATGAAGAATTAGTATAATACAGTTGTGGTAAACAGCTAATTAAAGGCAATAAAGGCAATGTTACAAAAAACTAAACGGACGGATTAACCAGCGGTAAAAATTAATAAATCTTTTATTAAAATATGGTCAAAGAAGTATTAGTTGCAAATTGCTTTAATAATTTGACCAAATTAATTTAACCTGACCTCTCGTGACCGGCCACACGTACTCCAAGAACAAAAATCATGCACTGAGTCAGCATGAGTGGATGCTTACTCATTGGACCAAAAATTCAAAACGGGTCCACGCAGGCACGTGTCAACACCCGAAAAAGCGAGATGCGGCGAGCCGGTGTTACTTGTCCATACTCACCGGAAATATTTAGCCCCATTTCGCCGCCGGCGAGATGCCCCACTAATACTGAGATATTTTGGAATCTAATTTAAGATTTATTTATCTATTTTTCCCAAAATATAAGCATGAAAAGGAGAAAACAATAAAATAATAAATGGTCTGCATATATTTTGGGTTTTATCAATTTCGGCGATCCTATAAGAAAGCTATAGGTCGATAGCCACTCTACTTTCTTCCTCTGTAAAGCACCATTATTTTCCTTTCTACCCTGTGTTTTCCTTTGGTGGGGTTACCTTAAAACATTTCATGGAAATTTCGATATTTCTAATGTAAACGGGATTAAGGGTTTCTACACAGCATCTAAGATTTCGATTGTTAATTTGCTTCCCTTTTTCTATCGAAACACTCGTCTCTTTAAACCCACAAGTCCCTTTAAAAGTATGCCTTTGAGTCCCAACTTTTAACGTTTTTGTTGGGTCTTTTTGTCAGATTTTCGTGTATCAGAGCGTGAATTTGATTCTTTCTGTGTTTGAAGCTTCTCTTTGACGGTTTACCATCTTTTAATCTCAGTCACTCACTCACTCGTGTCTTCTCCCAAAGCAATCTTCCTTTATTTTCACGTTCATCTCTTCAATCGATTCACTTTTTTTCAATGCTTATTGTAGGAAAAGTGTGCTGAAACCACTGACTGTGAGTGAACATTTCGAATTCATAATAATGGATCAAAGTATGTTATGGCCGGTGAAATACACCGAGCACTCTGAACTTATTCAAAAACTCGTTAAATCCTCAAATCAGAAGCCCGGGAAACCCTCAAAATCCCAACAAAAACAGAGTTTGAATTTTCCCAGAACCGTTAGGATTTCAGTGACTGATCCCGACGCAACTGATTCATCCAGTGACGATGAGGACGAGCTTTTTCGGGGGCAACGAGTGAAGAAGTACATCAACGAAATCAGAATCGAAGCAGCTGTTAAAACCAATAATGTCAATGCCATCAATGTAAATGAAAGGTGTAAGAAGAGGAATGGAGGGGTTCTACAGGCCAAGCCGAAGGCAATGAAGGTGAAAGAGGTGGCGCAGCCGGCTGCAAATGGAGTTAGGAAGTTCCGGGGTGTTCGGCAACGGCCGTGGGGCAAATGGGCAGCAGAGATAAGAGACCCCTGCCGGAAAGTCAGGCTTTGGTTGGGTACTTACGACACCGCGGAAGAGGCTGCTATGGTTTATGACAACGCCGCTATAAAACTCCGGGGGCCAGATGCTTTAACCAACTTCGTAACTCCTCCGCCCAAGGATAAGCCGGAGACGAATGATACTTCAGTTTCTGGCTATGAGTCGGGCGTTGAATCCAGAAATCTTTCATCTCCGACATCTGTTCTCCGGTACAGGACTAGCCAGTCGAGTGAAAATGACACCGATCAACAGTCAGTGTCCGAACCGGTTCAGGAAGTGGGCAAAGATGTCGAACCGAGTGCCTCAGTCGGCAGACCTGATCAGAACCAAAGAGTTAATGGAACCGGTTCAACTTATGGTCCGATTCAGGAGGTCCAAGAGTATCAAGGGGAGACAAGCATGGTACCCGACTATACCAAGGACTATTTACCGATGGATATTCCATTCCTAGACGATTTCTTTAATTTCCAACCTCAAGAACAAACGTTATTCAACGATACTCAAGATTTGGCTAAGGATTTTAGCATGTCGATTGATGAAATTCCAGGATTCATGGACTTTTCACAAGGATCAGACTTTGTAGATTTCAATTCTAATCATTCACTTCAAGATCTCAGTTCAATTGAAGTCGATGATTATTTTGTCGACATGGGTGATTTTGCAAGTGTAGACGCACTTCTAGAAATATGATACAACAAAAATCAATTGTTAAACATTGTCGGTTTGCCAATCTTGACGGCAAATTTTGTTCACCGGCTCGGCTAGTTTGTCCGTTAAATATTTTCAGTATATTTAGCGTCTAAGTATTTATTTGTTGTGGTATCTTCATTCCATTAAAGTAAATGGAATTTTAGCAAAGTTATTTGTTTAGTTTTATATTTAGCCTTTCCAATAATAAAATAAATTTGCCTTTTCAAGATTATGTATTTGAGTTTATTTGATTTTAATCTTTATTTAAACACATGTTTGTTTCCCATTCTTTTATCATTAAAATGAAAAATATGACCGTTATCCATCACTTTAAACCACCAAATTTGAATTTTTATCTTCTGTGCGGAGCTACAACGGCTATATTTTTCATTCTCATTTTCACAAAAAGGAGAATCAAACGCCCCCAATTTGTGTAGTATTTTAGATGGATCTCGTAGTCACAAAGTGGAATTCCTTTTCCCCCCATACGAGTAGGCGCAATCTGCGGTTCTCATTTTTAGATGTTGGTAGTGTGTAACGAAATGTCTGAATTTTTTCTTTTCAAATCTTTGTTGTACACATTGGACTTTGGTATTTAAGGTTGAAAAATGTGAGAGGACGGCTCCTATTAATTTACATTGGCAAACAATATTGTCTCATTTGTTGTGTTCAATAAATGTGAAGATGGACTATGCAGTATTCTAGGTGGGTCATGTTGTGAGATTAGAAGCCATGTGGTACATTTATTATGTAAAAGAAAGCGGCTATGTGATGTGCATCGCAAGATTGTGGGCACGAGTTTGGGGGTTGGTGGGAGCAGGGATAGAGAAAGTTAAATAAAATAAAAATTCTGAAATATTTGCTGTTGTTATGTTCAGTTCAATGTAGAGACGTTATGTATCTTGTGTCGTCCAACCTATAGTTGCGTAACTCATGCTAGACTTTCCCTAGGTGGCGATAAAAATGTGATTTGCCTTAGGTTGGTTGGTGCGGGTGACAGAGTGAGTGGAAAAACACGTGATATTTTTGCCTATTGTTCAATTGACTTCAACATAGAGATGAAATAAATATTTTATTGTTCAACCTACATTCTACATAATCTAGACCAAACCTTGGCAATCGAAGCTTGATTCACTTTGGATTGGAGGGAGCTAGATGACAAGAACTATTTGTGATAGAGTGAGTAAGAAAATATGTGAAAGATTTTTGATTGAGCAAACGAGAAAACATACTAAAATTTGATTCTTGTTTTGTTCAATTCAATTAAAAGATATAATACAGTTTGTATAGTACAACCTATATCAGAAACATATCGCACCAGATCAGACCTTACCCAAGTGGCAATCAAAAGGTGATTCGCCTTGGGTTGTTTAGAGCCGGTGACAGAGAAATTTTTGACAGAATGAGTGGAAAACATGTGAAATACAGTATATCTTGTCTCATCCAACTTGAATTATGCACAATCTGGATAAAAACCTTACCTAAGTGATGATAAGTTTTTTGACAGATTGAGTGAAAAAATATGTAAGATATTTATGTGTTACGTTTAATTCAAATCGAGATGTAACGCACCTTGTGTCCTTCAACCTGTATTTTACACAATCCAGACCACACCATTAGTTTCTTCAATGAAAAGTAAAATTTAGAATAAATATTTATATTTAATCGAGAAAATCATCAATCAATTGACACAAAATATCTTCAGGACCCTAAATTATACACTGGGGTAGTCTCAAAAAGACATGCCGTGGTGGACTGACTTGCATTTCACTCCAACATTAATATAGGTAAGTGATGCTCATTATGCAACTTAATTATGTCCTTAAATGAAATTTTAAAATAAAATATTAATAGATTGAGAAGGCCAATCCTGACTACTCTCACGTGCAGTCCACGCGTTAGTTGTTGAAGCTAAATCTAAGACTAAGTGAAATCATTATGTCTGAAACCCTTTGCAATTTGCTCATTACAACACTGGATCTTGATAACGTTGAAGAACCCATATTTTTTCAACGTGAAATCATCGTGTCACCGATATTTAGAAGATAATTTTTTAAATTATAATTTTCGCATCTGTAACCAATAGTACAACCTATATCAGAAACATATCGCACCAGATCAGACCTTACCCAAGTGGCAATCAAAAGGTGATTCGCCTTGGGTTGTTTAGAGCCGGTGACAGAGAAATTTTTGACAGAATGAGTGGAAAACATGTGAAATACAGTATATCTTGTCTCATCCAACTTGAATTATGCACAATCTGGATAAAAACCTTACCTAAGTGATGATAAGTTTTTTGACAGATCGAGTGAGAAAATATGTAAGATATTTATGTGTTACGTTTAATTCAAATCGAGATGTAACGCACCTTGTGTCCTTCAACCTGTATTTTACACAATCCAGACCACACCATTAGTTTCTTCAATGAAAAGTAAAATTTAGAATAAATATTTATATTTAATCGAGAAAATCATCAATCAATTGACACAAAATATCTTCAGGACCCTAAATTATACACTGGGGTAGTCTCAAAAAGACATGCCGTGGTGGACTGACTTGCATTTCACTCCAACATTAATATAGGTAAGTGATGCTCATTATGCAACTTAATTATGTCCTTAAATGAAATTTTAAAATAAAATATTAATAGATTGAGAAGGCCAATCCTGACTACTCTCACGTGCAGTCCACGCGTTAGTTGTTGAAGCTAAATCTAAGACTAAGTGAAATCATTATGTCTGAAACCCTTTGCAATTTGCTCATTACAACACTGGATCTTGATAACGTTGAAGAACCCATATTTTTTCAACGTGAAATCATCGTGTCACCGATATTTAGAAGATAATTTTTTAAATTATAATTTTCGCATCTGTAACCAAATTAAGAAAATCGAGATCAAATATATGCAACATACTTTAGAATTTATTATTATTATTATTATTTTTGGGCACGTCTCTACTAAAATTTCATTTTGCTTAAGATGAAAATAACTTGCTTTAGTGTACCTAATTAGAGTGAAATTTAACTACTCTACTCGAATATCTTGTTTGAAGTAAAAGGATCGATGATTACCTAAAATTTGAATAGTAATCAAGAATTCGAACAAATTTAATGGCTCCTTCAAGTTGAATTAGTTACTAAATGTTCAAATTCAGTATGAGTTACCAAAGTCTAAGAAAGATTTATGAAAATAAATTTAACCGAATCTATGATATCCATCTCAGATTACCTTTCCGAATGCATACATTATAATTGTTTGCGAGCAATAAATCTTGACAAGTCAATTTACTTATAAATTATGACATTTCTCCAAATGGGAACTTCCCTACATATAAGCAAAGGAAGTTGCTACTATAACAAAAAGACAAATTAATAAAATGTTATGTATTTGCCCCCCTAAGCATAACTCAGTGGTGCAAGGATAGGAGTAAGATAGTCTCAGTCTTACTGACAGCCGTAGTGTGATGGTTCGATTCCAGAGATATGGAATTGAATTTTTTGTGAGCACCAGTGTACAGACAAACTCTTGTTCCCTGACTCGTTGGGGGCATATCCCGCGATTTACCTCCCTCACGATATTTCAGGGGTGAGACGGTGGGAGCCCTCAAAATTGGGATTCGACATTTTTTAATAAAATGTTGTGTATCTTGTATGATGGTAGCCCAAAATCTTTTTCTATTGAAAATGACCCTTCTTTAATTTATTCTTCTTATTAGTACTACTTGAAATTTAGGATTTTTTTGCAAAATATTATTCTTTTTTTATTATATGATTTAAAAAGGCTGTCTATCTAAACAAACAACAAAAAGAATTGTCTAGTGCCTATGTAAAAGTCACGTCTCATCTTTATCTTAGTAATGTCACGTCTCATCTTTATCTTAGTAATGTCTTTAAATGGCATGTTTCGATCGTTTTCCTTATTATTTACAAAAAGTGAGCTGGGTATAGATGCTATCATTATTGTCTGAATAATTAGACATCTCAACCGTAAGCGCAACGTCCCAATTGCAAGTGATCACACGCAATGTGTTTCTATTGGCGTTGTGTGTATCTTTTAACACTTTTAAATAAAGTTCAACAATCTTGCGAGTTCACTCACCAACTTTATTTCTTTCTCTTACTCATTCGAGCTCCGAAACATCGTGATTTGAATTAATAGTCCAATTTCTTGCATATAAAGTCATCCCACTAAAATATTTTTTTCTCGATAACAGAGACCCTCCAATTTCATGCACAAATAAAGACAGTCATATAGGGTGGGGGTAAAGGCAGAGGCCTCTGGACTGACTGCCCAATGCTTGCTGGGAACATTGTAGACACAAGGATTGTATACAATGATCACGTAATCATTGCTCTAAGTGTGTTAGGGTTTTATTATATTATCTCTGCAACTTTATGAACTTTATGATGTTTAATGCTAATTACTTCTGTTCCTCTTATTAATTTCTTCTTCACGCCGGAGTTTACTTTTCGTTTTACGATGAATTTAGGTCCAAATAAAGAAACTTACCTAATATTGAAGTAACTTTTTTTTACAAAAATCATTCTTCTTTTCATGAATGTTGTCTATGATTACATGACAGAACACACAACTGTCAGCTAAGCAAAATGTTACCCCAACACTTTCTCTTAAAGGTGAAAAGCAAATTGAGCGTTCTCCTCCGTCTTCTCATCCGATGTGATGAGCACTCCACACCATTGTCTCGTTCAGTCTCATTAGCTCAATGCCTCGTCAATGATTGTCTCCAAGGCAATACAACTTAAAGAGACTTGTCATTTCTTCCCTCTAGGGCAATCAAGGAAGACCCATTCCTTAGGTCACACCATATTGACCTCTTGACCTCGAGGAGATTTTAGTATAATCTCAGATACCTTCTGCAAGTTGCAATATAACACATTAAGTCACATGTGATTTTACCAATGTGACATCTCTGCAAGGGCGATTGCGAGTCAAATTTCCACTTTGTTACCTAGGAAAGGGTGGGAAGTCACAGGCCTATGATGCGACGTCATGGTATTTGACTTGTGACTTGTGAGTCGTTGGGATAAGGCGATGTTGGGTTTTTTGATACCCAATAAATCCCGGGCTATGATGTTAACGTGGGTTAATCTTATTTTATAGGCATAGGTCGATGAATGAAATAAGTCCAACAACCAAGTCTATGAGC